TTTAAATGAAACTATTTCAAATGGTTTATCTTTTTGATAATTTTCAAAACCTTTGTTCAGTAAAATGTTCCTGACTTCTCATACTTTTTGTAGTTCTGTAGAGGACAAAAAAAGTACAATGTGATTATAAATATTAACAATTTGAGAACAAATGATTATTTGTCGCCATCTTCTGGCAAATTAGAGTATTTTCAAGAGCTGGTTGACATCTCTAACAGCAGGTGGCGCCAATTTAGTATGTAGGTCGTCTGAAATTTGAATTTACTGAGTAATTATAAATAAATAACCCATGATCAACAACAACAGCAATAATATCAAAACCACGATGTAGCACAAAAAATTAAAACCCTTTAAGTTCTGCAGAAATGCAGATTTGTTTGTACAGAGCAAATTGAAAAAGCATATTGTATGAGGGCTACAAAGACAAGGAAACAAAACGTTATGACAATATTAGGCAAAGAGGAATAAACTGCATACCTTACATTTTTGCATACCTTACCTCCATTTTTGAAAAAGAAATATTCACTTGTAGAAAAAAATCACATGATTTCACATGAAAAAATATCTTAGGTTTTTGAATAATGCATGAAGGGATACGTCTACCTGCTCAGAAAGTACTGAAATATAAAAACACAAGTTCACTTCAGGATAAATTCCAAATACAAGGTGCTCAATCTGACTATCTTTTTGTTATCTAAGAATTTGTAGGTCAAGTTAAAGGGAAATAAATCTTGAACATGCTCTAACAAACCCCATTCCCCATCATTTTCTCTCTGGGTTTTGAGCTAACATTTAATTTCACCACCTCACGTAAAAATAGACAATGTTTCCACCTGTGTGTGAGATGTAGATGAGATGTTTGCTTGTAATTCAGTCTGTTGGCTTGTGAAGTGTTTGTTCTCGACTCGCATGCAACAATACAACTGTGGACAAATCTAATAATGACCGGCATGATTACCATTTGCCGATGGATGTGTAAAACCTCACTTGGTCTGTAAATTGGCGCGCTGTGCAAACAAGCGGCGTGAGGACAAAGAAATGAAAACGTGAATATAAATCTGCCCCGTTATTAAGCCGTTGAAGTCTGAATGAAAGAGTCAGACTTGATAGTAGTAGTAGATGTATTATAAAAGTGTTTAAATATATATAGAGGTAAATCTCACTGAGAAATAAGGTCTCATTTTCAAAAGTGACCTGCTTTATGCTTACACAATGAAAATATGTCAAAATAGATCATGCTGAGTAGAAATAATAGACGAGACTTTCAGTGATCACGTTGTAAATTTCTCATCACGTCACGCTCAGACGTACAGAGCACGTCTTGCTCAAAGAGCTAAACGCACAATGTTTTGTGTGAACTTCTACAGATCACATGTAGGAGTTGGTGTCCACATGAACTGCTGTGCATTCCTGTGGGATAATCTTATCTTCCTCCTTGTGGACCTCTGAACTGCAGGGCAACACTTACACATGCGCCCTGATTTGCGTGTTACAAGCAAACAAAGATGCAGCCGTGAAAACGAATGGAGCATTTAGAATACGTCAGGAACAATTGAACGGGGGTCGTCCATCACAGATTTATCCAATGGCTTTCAGAATAAATCTGATGGACTTTAAGAGGCGTACTACAGATTCAATCAAAGGAGAGCCGATTCCTCTGTCTCCACTGAACAACCTCCATTGACTCAATGTAAATGTAATCAAGTGGTCGTTACCTGTCTCTTCAACTGACTGAATGGTTACAATGCACCTGATTGATCTGAGATAGTAGATGGGAGGGGGTTTTGAAATGTAAACGTGCACTTGATGAATGCATACAGTGACAATAGATGCTTGGGTGTTGCTTCTATTCAAATACATGATGAAGTCGGAACCGTTAGTCTCTGAAAAGCAGTTAGAGCAGAAAATTTAGAACTGGAATGATCAAAAACCAGGGCTGATTTTGTTGTGAAAGAAAATCCTTGAGATTTTAGTTTTGATTTTTTTTTTCTGTTTCACCTAAAGTTTGATGTAGCATCTGCATGTGGGAACTATGTTTTGTTGTTGTGCTTGAGTTTGAACTATTGATTAAAAACAGCAAATTCAGCATCTTGCAAAAGTATTCACACCAACTGCTTGTCACCTTATAACCAAAAACCTCAATGTATTTCATGCTGAGTAACACTGAAGGCGAAGAAATAGGAAATTATACATATAAAAATTATTTACAAGCAAAATAAGAAAGTTTGAACCAGGTTTGAACACAAGTCCAGCTGCAAGACTTTTGGGATGGGGCTTTGCTAAGCTTGCACATATAGAGAACATTTACGTCACCTTTTTTTTTTTTTGCAAAACAACTGAAGTTCAATCAAATTAGACTGACAGCGACTGCAGAACAGAAAATTTTCAAGCCTGGTCACTAATTCCCATATGGATGTAGACCTATACTTTTTCTGGGTCATTTAACTCTGACCAGAACAAAAATCCTACAACATAATGCTGCCACCACCATATTTCACAGCAACGCTTAGAGAGATGTTTATTGTTAGTTTTAAGGCCAGGATTCCAAATCTGTCTAAATCAACTTTTATGCAACCTGCGCAGGAAAGTAAGGAACTAATTTATAAGCAGAATATTTTGCATCTTTGCAAATTATTGCGACTTATTATATTGAAAAGGGGGAAATCACGAGGGCAACTTTTCTCCTTCTTGAAAACTGCATTCCTTTCTGCTGCGGTGATTTCAGAGAAGAACCGCGCAATCTGTGAAAGCTTCTGTGTCTGGCTCATGCCTGCAGCCACGGATGAGTGCAACATTTGTTCCCTGCAGAAAACTGTCCATGTCGTAGGGTCACTCTTAACACAAATTGTCCGCAGTCTTCCCTACATACAAATTGCCCTGCCTCCCCCGCTCCACGAGTTGAATCGTCACCACAGTGACAATCACCTGCTTTCACTCGCACAGCGATGGAGCCGAGAAACGCCCAAAGTGATACGGGCAGAAGAACTGGTATCAAGTGTCGCTTCAAGCTCAAAGAATCATCAACGTGAAGGAAGATTGCTTTCACGTGTCTCTCGGCTTTTCGCCGTTTTGTTTTGACTGCAGCCCTGCCCTGCTCACCCGCCTACGTGGCGTCAGGCTCAACAAGCGCCGTAACGACGTGTGAACTTTTGGGCATTCGGTGACAAAAGGGCCTTTTGGACAGGTGCACCAACCCGCCCCATCAGCCGGCATCTGACTCCCTTTGCGATGCTAAATAGCTCCAGTTAAAGGCTGAGACATTCCTGTCTGATGACTGGCACCCGGTGCGCGTTTTCAATCACTTTGCGCACCAACAATCTCAACGCAAGCGAAATATGCAACAATTTAAAATGAAACGTAAGTTTAAAAACAACTAAAAGGAGGGGAAATATTCAGCTCTGGCCCAATTAAAACTTATTTTTTTAACGGATCGTGCAGATTGAATTTACTGCTCATTTCCTCCCAGAATTTCACACCACCCCGAGGCAGGCGCTCAAATAGCTCCAACTTTACATCATCATTTGGTTCCTGTCTGCTCGCTTATTATTTATTTATTTATTTTTGGACCTCGATTCCCGCAGCGAGGAAGCAGGAGAACAGTGCCTCTCCTATTCACACTGAACGATCTCCGGAGAGGAGAACAGATCAGGATGAACTGAGCTTTTTGTGGCTAAGAGGACAGGTCGTTTGTCTCTCCTTTTTTTAATGAGCAAAATGCCTTTTTCCTCATCTCTGTGTTCGTGTAGAGTGATAGAGGCTCGATTGTCTTTGAGGGACCGTTGGAGACATGTATGCAGTTTTCAGCCTGATATTAAAACTTTTTTTTTTTTCTGGAAATATGAGAAATAAATGCAGACTTCTCAGCCGGCACGGGGACGCCCCACCTGATTTTCAACCCAACTAAACTCAACTGTAAATTAAACAGATATCAACTCTTGTTTTAGTGGTGTCTTTATTTCCTTTTTTCACTCCGTCCTGGTCCTGAGACAGTACTTAGACTTGCTCCCTTAACTTGCTAAGAACCCACAGAGACTCTCTAAGAGATCATCAACAAATTATTGACTAAATAACGCAAGAAACTTTTTCTTCTTCTTTTAAATCAACAGTTTGCGCTGTGATGGAAGTGGCTTATCTGGAGTGCATGCTTAATTTAGTTTTAGAAATAGGATACTTCGTTTGTTTAAGTAATTTCTTGTAGCTCTCACTGAACATTGCGAGCTAATTTGAATTATTTCGTGGCTAATGAGGTATTTAAGGTTTTACATCATGTGACCACAGTAAATCGTGCTACTGCATAAAATAATTCGTACTTTGCATGAATACTTTTATGGAAAACATATACACTGCTCAAAAAAATAAAGGGAACACTCAAATAACACATCCTAGATCTGAATGAATGAAATATTCTCATTGAATACTTTGTTCTGTACAAAGTTGAATGTGCTGNCAACAAAATCACACAAAAATCATCAATGGAAATCAAATTTATTAACCAATGGAGGCCTGGATTTGGAGCCACACACAAAATTAAAGTGAAATGTTCCCTTTCTTTTTTTGAGCAGTATATTTTCAAATTACCGCTAACTTGTTTTCCTTGACTGTACTTTTTGCATCTTGTTTTGTATTATTATATGACATAAGTAGATTATATTTCAAGTGACACCAAATTTAAGTATCGTTTTCACTAGTTAGGAGAAAAATACATAAGTTGGAATTAGACTTTAATTTTCTCAAAGTTTCAATTGAATACCTTTTTTTTAAAATCAATAACTTTAATTTTGACATTAATTGTTAATAATTTTCAGAAAAAAACAGTCCAGGATGAATTTGCTAACGTTTGAATGTGTGATTTGTCTGGTAATTTGAGAACCTATGTCATGTGTGTCATGAAGTAAAAAGAACATTTAAGCTCAAATCTTTAACTCCTGAACACCCAATATTCCAATCTGGTCATTTATTTTATTTTATTTTATTTTATTTTATTTTATTTTTTACCTTATTCAAAAATTCATATTTCAGTAAAAGTCTACAGTGTAGAGCCGTGGTGACATGCGCAGTCACCGAAACTCTCAGCTCAGATTTTGGGCACTTTGGGTACCTGTGATCTGAGGGGACTGTGGCGCCCCGGCGTGCAGGGGGTGTGTCTTTGGGCGGGGACGTTCCCACCCCGCGGTTTTCTCCCCCTTTATAAGTGGAGGCAAACTTTAACGGAGAGATACACGCAACATCGCAGGTTGCCTGTGAGTTTTCAACTCCGTCCGTCTGGAAATAGCCATCAAGCCAGGAGCACGGGGGGACACGGTCGGCGTTTGGTTGTGGAGAGATAGTCTTATTTGTTCCGGCCGAGGACAAAACCCGAGCTCAAAATGCCCCGATCTTTTCTCGTCAAGAAGTATTTCTCCAACAAGAAGCCTTACTACAGAGAAAGCCAGCTGGAAAGTCAAACAGGTAAGTTTTCAAAGGAAATATTACAATAAAATCCACTCTTAAAACGCTACATCCAAGTACCTGCAGCCAGGAAAGAGTTGTGAATGTAGCCTGCAGGTGAAAAGGCTGATCTATTCGCCTCGAAAATGTGGTGATGAGAAAGGTTGATGCTCTGTAGAGTGCAACCCGAGAGCGAGAATGATAACAAGCTTAGATCATCGGTTTAACCCCACCTGACTGAACTTCCTCTTTTGTTTTCAGCTTTTGTCCCAGAAAGCTTTCCACTGGCCGAACTCCCAACACAAAACAACGCGTCTGCGCTCACTTGCCATCCCAGCAGCCCCTTCTTCACCAGCTCTGATGCCCTGCCTGCTCCCCTCTCCCCAATCACCCCGGCGTCCCTGCCTCCCTCTCCGTCCTCTTTTTCCGGCGGAGAGGAAGAAGAGGACGGCGGCCGCACCTCGGATCCCCCCAGCCCGGAGGTCATCCAAAACATCTTCCACTGTCTACACTGCAGCAAGAGCTACGGCAGCCTCTCTGCACTCTCGCATCATCAGCTGTCCAGCCACCAGCTCCCTCCAAGCGGTCCGTTACTGCAGACTGCTTCCGTTCCCTCAGAGGGATCCCCGCGCCCAGCTTTCCACTGCAAACACTGCTCCAAGGAGTACACCAGCCTGGGGGCCCTGAAGATGCACATCCGCTCACACACTCTTCCCTGCGTGTGCCCCACTTGCGGCAAAGCCTTCTCCAGGCCCTGGCTGCTCAGAGGACACATCCGCACGCACACAGGTAAAGATTTTAAGTCACCCCCCCGCCCCCCAATTGATTCACACTGTTTTGACTTTGTTGATGCAATTGGCTGCACCTTGTGCTCATTGATATTTATTGACCGATGAGCAAATGTAGTTGTTTAGCAGGACACAATCTAATCTCAGCCCACCAGTTGGTCTGCATGAGAAACAACAGCATTAACCTCGTTTAAAAACGATGACTCTAATGAGTGCAAAGCGTTGCTCTGGTTCTGACCGTGTTCCCCGTTCCTCTGTTCCAGGTGAGCGCCCCTTCGCTTGTCAACACTGCAGCCGGGCCTTCGCCGACCGCTCCAACCTGCGCGCCCACCTGCAGACCCACTCTGAGGTGAAGAAGTACCAGTGCGGCTCCTGCTCCCGGACCTTCAGCCGCATGTCCCTGCTGCATAAACACAACTCCTCTGGGTGTTGTCCCTCATCGTAGACCGCCTTGAAGAAGACACAGCTGGAGCTCCCCTTTGGGTCGTGCTAGGAGCCAGCGCCCACATCGATTCCTGTTTTTTTTTTTTTTTAATAAGTGCCTTAACTTCATGATTGCCAAATATGAAACCACACTATTGTTTGCTGCGTGCTTTTGGAACTCTGTGGCAGCTGAAGGCGTAGTTAATTCCCAGGAAACTTCGCTGGTGCCGGCCGGTCCGGGACCGCGGCCATGTTGCAGCTGCCTTGGGGTGTGTTTGTGCGTACGCGAGGATGTCATTCCTCACCATGCTATACATGCATTATGTGTGGGTGTTGAGACAGCTGTCTGTGCATGGTGCACCGTGGAGGCAGGGCGCTGAGAGACGCGCTAACTGCAACCTCAACGACAGGTGACACAAGCAAGACAACATTTGCCCCCTCCTCGCTGCACAACCACACCAGGATATAAAAGCTCACTTGAGCCTGACCAAAAACTGTTTTTAAAACTATTTGGATGTGCGGCTTTTTTTTTTTTCCTTTTTTTCTTTTTTTTTTTAAACATTTGATTGAAGATGACTTTCAATAGATGTATTTTGCAAACTTGTGTATTTGCAAAGTGGTGACATGCGGCACATGATCTATGGTTTTTGTAAATAAAAGGATTTCTAACAAACTCAGCTGGTTTTCTGTGTGTCCCTTCTTTTTAATAATGTAATAGTGTTTCAGATGACTTTGTATTGACACAAGAGTTCATTAGGACATGCATGACAGTTTGTGAATGGGATGATAGAGCTGCACACAGTTGTATGGGTTGGTGTGTGCTACGGGGAGCGGGGAGAGGTTTATATGATGTTGAGTGATGGGTAGAACACCTGCACACACCTGCCCGTCGGTCGGGAAACGCTGGGGGACACACACCGTGCAAGCAGGGTTGGCGGGCAGACTGTGTAGAAAGACGCTGACGTGGGGTCGTAGGGGAATGGGTCCGTCTGAAGCTAAGGGTCCGGGGTGCAGCATATGACAGGAATCTAAACACAGAAACAGAATTTACTCCCGATTGGTGCAGAAAGGTGCATGCGTGCACCAGTGTGTCTGAGGACGCCGTTCAAACCTTAAGATCAGATTGCATGACTTGGCTTGCTCAATGTAAACAACACCCTAAAGGCTGCGCGGATGCAAACACACAACCCCTGAATACAGAAGCTTACTTTGATCAGGGGGGGATTTTTCATTTGTCTACTCTCTCTCTCTCTCTCTCTCTCTCTCTCTCTGAGCTCATGTGAATGTGAGAGTCATTTTAACAGCTGCACACCTACGCAGTCGCAGCGAATCAAAGAGGGCCTGAGCCCCACTTGAAGGGCCGACCGTGACACGAGCGGTGGGCGAGCACTTTGGAGAAAAATGCGCAGAATTTAAAAGACGTGTGTAATTTCAATTTCTCCTCGCGATTTCTTCATTCTGCCTCCACAAACTCTACACTTGATTCCCCTATATGCTTTTGAAATTAAATGGACATCTTGCTAAGGGGACATTTTTTTTGGTTTGTGGTGCGTAGGAGGCAGTCTGACTCTTTAGCTGCGAGGCGATGAGATCACTGGAGCTGTCATCTTTCCTTTTAAATGATGCTTGGTATCATATTGGCCCCCTTAAAGTATTTTGATGTTCACAGCCTCACGCGTGTGTCCCCTGACTAATTTGGCATTCCTGAACCATTAGCGACAGACATATAATACCACCGCCTTGCAGAGCGATGGCTTCTCTTTCTGCTGTCTTTTCACTTAGATTTTCCCCTGACAAGAAATATGTGGCTCCATCTGCCTAGGTTTACCTGCAAAATGCTTTGAGTCTCTAGGAGCTGGTCTTGCTGAACACTTTTAAAATCCTAAATGTGTTTAGGATTTTGCGCCTACTGCTTTTAATGTGTAAGTCCTTGTGTCTAAAATGGTTTTTACGCAGCTTTCCTGGCCAGGGGTTTTTATAAAAGACATTTTCAATCTTAATGTGCTTCCTGGCAAAAAAAAAAAAAAAAAAAAAAAGATAATGGAAAATTATTTTTTTTGACAATAACGAAAGGACAAACTTTAAGCTTGTCTCAGGCGAGCAACATCTTTAACTTCAGCCCAATGATGCATTAAAGAGCCAAATGTCTTATTAGTTTCGCTTAATTCTGTTTTATTCTTGAAAAAGATAGTTGTAAAGAGAATATTTGACTTGTGTTTGTCATTTTGTGTGACTTAACTGCTCTTTATGTTTTTTTATAAACAACTCATTGGACAAGTTAAGTTTACTGCATCATAGCTTGTCCCAGAGCCATGAGGAGTTGCGATTCGTGTTTTCTCTTATCTCACACTCAGGGTGTATTACTTTGACAACTAAGAAACAAAAGATCTTATGGTTTTGAATCAAAATATGCATCACTTTGTAGAGCAGGGCTTAGCTGGGATCAAATGGTAAAATTAAACTTCAGTGTATTTATTGTGCTGTTGATGATGATGTGATGTTATTTGTAAAGTTCTAAGTTACTTCATTTAACTTGTGTCCAATTTATCCTCTGAAAATCCTCTCTTATGTGAGTCAGATTTTAAAGGTGAACTCTGTTTCCGTCTTTGCTTGATACACATTAATGTAGTAGTATTTGTGATGTGAAATTTTCATCCCCTCTCTGGCATGACTCAATGGATTTTATTAGATTTACATACTCTTAAACCCGACAAGATGAAATATTTTAGATCTTAGCTCTTTTATCAACAGATGTCTCTTTTCTCCCCCCAACATATTTGTGAACCGAGTCCAATGGTTTTCTCTCCCTGCTGATGCAAATGCCCGTGCAGCGCTCTCCAAGAATATTCATAAACTGAACTGTCTCACATTTGGTTCTGTTACAAGCTATAAACTCCTGTGCAGCTGTAGGATTTTATGTGGGAGACATATTACATAAATATGAAATTGGTTCAGCTGAATGTGAATCCATAGAGCACTTGTAAGATCGTATTTGTCCATCTGTTCGTCCGTCGGTGGTTGTCAGTCCATTAGTTTGTTTGTAAACAATCAAATGAACATTCCTCATATCCAAATAAAATACACCGAAGTTTACGGCTTCAGTGGAAGAAATAGTCATAAAACTGAAGATGAGTGAATGTGTTTGCACTACTCTGCATTAAAGCATTGCTTTGGACAGAAATTATTCTGCCAGCACAGCAAAAACAGGTCCTTTCCTAAAGTATTTGGTTCAAAGCATCTGTCTTACGGTATTTACGGGGCATGATTGGATGAGTGTCTGTTGATTTTCTATTAAGGTTGCCGGGGTTTACAGTGGCCCATGCTGAGTGGGAGAGAGAGAGAGAGAGAGTGTGTTGCTGAAATCAGAACGTCAGGCTTTGCAGAGCTGATTCACTGGAGGATCAGGTTGAAGCCAAGAGGGTTAAGTCACTGGGCTAAAGTTTCCAACCCTCTTACAAGCTGCAGAGCTCTTACACAACTGCCCAAAGCCTCAGCGCCAACATTCTCCGCTGGAGCAATCTCAGAAGACTCTCCTCCAGCCCTTTGTCCTTTCAAAAGATATTAAAAAGTCTCAAATTTACCTAAGCCTCATCTGCCTCCAAGTAGAAAATTAAGCAACACGTATGGGGAAAATAAATGGCATTAGGTTAGGAATAAAAGGGTGATGTAAAGATAATAGGAGGAGGCAAGCAACAGGAGAGGAGAGACTGGACGTTGGAGGGGGGAGGAGGTGGGTGTCTGAAGAAGAATGGGTGTATCTGTTTGCAGGCCATTAATCAAATCAGTGGGGAGTTGAATTTACTGAGGAATGCCACATGTTGCAATGCAGACTTGATCAATGACATGTGCTGTGAGGGCAGAGAGATATGCTGACTTTAGCCGCCGCCGCTGTAACAGGCGATCAGCATGTAAAACACATCAACATCTGGCTTATCCGAGAGTCAAAATAAGGAGGAATTCGTCTTTATCATCAAAAACATTTGGCGTGCGTGCCGCTCTGCGACAGATCCACACGGTGAACTCAGATCTCTGCACACCATAGAGCAGCTTTACCCAAGGACAGGATGCGGCCTCGGCGAGGGGGCACACACTATTTCCTGCCCACCTCCGAAACCTCCTGCCCTCCCCTTCACCAAAACGTGTCTGTGTGCACTACGAGGCTTTAGCCTTGCTCCTCAACAGCAAGGCTCTGTCCCACAGGGTCAAAGGTTAGAGGATGACCCGCAGAGAGACAGGAGGACAAACAAATGTGACACACTTTGTCTGTGGCAGAAATGTCCAACTTTGTGTTGCAGAGAGCCGTCAGCGGGCATGTTTCCTTTGGCTCTGAATACTGGAGAGCGCACAAACTCTGCTGCAGAGCTCCTGCGTACCAGGAACAACCAGAGGACAATGTTCACTCATCGGGATTTTACTGGATAAACCAGAACAAAGCTGTGAACAATTGTGAAGTGGCAGGGAAATGATTCTAAAAATGTTGGTCCACATTTTTATTTAACCTCTAAACTGCCATGTCTCTGATGAAGAAAGTAGCCCACTGCATGATGCAGCCACACCTACGTCTGAGTGTGTTCGTAGTGTTTTACAGTGTTAGTTTTCGAGTATACAACTAAAAATCCTGTCAACACATTGTCCCACCTGAGTCGTGGGTCATTGCAGCTCCCCAAGAGTCCCAGTTCTGGCTGCCTTTTGAATTAATGTTCTCATTTGGTTAATAATCTGATTGAACTGTTAAAAATTCAATTGGTCATCATGCTTGTGGTCAGCATATCTTTTTGAAATCGTTATCATTTCAGCAGAAGCATGGACAACACAGCACAGAAACACGGCTCAGTGGAGACCATGTATTGATTGGGAAAGACATGCAGTGAATTATGAAACAATGTGATAAACGAGGTCCTGCTGGGTAAACTGCCGAGTGGCTGAAATCTTAGAATTGGAAACTATTTCACTTTCAAAAAGCGAGCAGCAGCTTCCTTTGGTTCTCAAACACTCTGAGCATCATTACAACATGACATAATGCCTGATGAGTGATTCACATGCTTCTAAATATTTAAACTTTTTGATGCCACAAAGTAATTACATTAATTTATTTTCAAATACACAATGTCGTCTTGGCTCAATGTGAATGAAACACAAGTTTTCTGTCATTTTGAATGAGCAGCGTTCTGGTTTGTCGTGATCCGCCACCCAGTGATCTGTTTAGAGGCGTCGTCAAAACTGCACAGATACACCGGCGCTCGATGTCACAGTGGCCCCTGTGTGGATCTGAGTCTGCTGCTGCTGCTGAGAGAGTCCCACCATCTGGCAGAGTTACACTCTATCCACCCAACATGCTGTAATACAAACGGAGAAAATCTGGTTTGCAGTAAGTGGGACCTGGCATGGGGGAAGACTGGAAGAATAGAATAGAATAGAATAGAATAGAATAGAATAGAATAGAATAGAATAGAATAGAATAGGTCTAACTGGAAAAATTCAGGAGTTACAGCAGCAAAATAAGTGGGAGCTTGCATGTTTACTGGATTGAGGCTTAAGTGATTTTTATCGGCACAGAGAATTAGAATTTATTTAGTTTTTCTCAGTTAGTCAGTAGATTTTTACTTTGGAGGAAAATTTTAGGAAAGTAAAGTTTCATCAAGTTCCTTGTTGTTTACTTACAGTGCTTTATGAAATT